TACCCAAGGCAGAGCACACGTCTTTGAGCAATTTAGAGAAGTTACGTCCTTGATCCGTGAGCAGCCCTTCAGGTGCTCCCTTATCCATAACGTACCCATTCAAGAAAGCCTCGGTGATGGATGAGGCCATTTGGTCAGGTAGAGGCCAGGCCATAGGCCAGCGAGAAAAGTATTCGACCCCGACCAAAAGGTATTTATATCCCCTAGCCGATGGAGGGAACGGGCCCAGGATATCCAGAGCGACCAGCTCATTAATACGGGACACCTCGATCGATCATAGGGGCGGGACATAATTTTGACGTGGCGGTTTCCGCTTTGCACAATCATTGCATGACCGGATAAAGTTAGTGACATCCGCTGTCATGCCTGGCCAAAAGAAATCCTGCTGCATCGCGGCAAATGTTTTCTGCACGCCAAGGTGCATCAGCTTGTCGGCGTGCAGCGCGCGGATCAGATCGTGGCGAAGGGACGTCGGCACAACCAGGCGTGAACGGTCCGACAACCCATCCGTACACATCAGTAATCCCGCCTGGCCCCCAAAACAACTGCCATTTCCATCCCGCCAAATGAGATCTCGGTTTCCCGACCAATTTCCACAGTAGAGCCAAAGAGGCATCAGCCTCTTGCTCGCATAGCCACACCAAGTGCGGCAAATGCAACGTATTGTCGGCGCCAACGGGTACATCCTGGCCTTCATCCTTTGACATCGCTCCCATGACCGGACAGGGCGCGGTAGGCAGCGCGGCAACAGTGGTGCATACCCGTCAGACAGGCGCAGAGAGGAGTTACGGGCAACCTAGAGAGAGCGTCCGCGTTTCCATGGCAAGTACCCTTGCGGTACGTGATATTGAAGGAAAACTCCTGCAGAGATTCTAACCACCGAACCAATTGACCGGACGGTTGTTCCAATTTCAAAGAATATTGCAAGGCAGCATGGTCAGTGCGCACAAGGAATTTCCTTCCATACAGGTACAGCCGGTACTGGCGAACAAAATGGACGATTGCCAACAATTCCCGTCGCATCACGTCGTTGGAGGTGTTCTTCGAAGGTGCGACTGAATACGATGATATCGTCCAAATATATGAGGCACGTTTCCCACTGCAGCCCCGCTAGCACCAGTTCCATCAGGCGTTGGAACGTCGCCGGTGCTGCATTCAAGCCCATAGGTAGGTGGTTAAACTCAAAGAGGCCCTGCGGCGTGCGGAACGCCGTTTTCGGTCTGGACGCGTCATCGAGGGGGAGCTGCCAAAACCCAGATGACAGGTCGAGGGTAGAGAAGAAATTTGCCCCCGACAAAGCGTCCAATGAGTCGTCCATCCGTGGCAAGGGGTATGCCTCGGCCACGGATATCTTATTCAATCGGCGGAAGTCTACACAAAACCTCGTTCCGCCATCCTTCTTTTTAACCAACACCACCGGCGCGCCCTAAGGACTGTTGGACGGCGAAATTATATCGGCCGCCAACATGTCGTCCACCGCGCCACGCACGTGTTCCCTTTCTGCCGTGCTCATGCGATGCGGGTGCATACAAATCGGTCCCGCTGCACCGGTGTCGATATGGTGCGACAAGAGCGTGGTATGGCCCAAATCCAAAACGTTTTTACTGAAAACGTCAGCGTACTCCGACATAGTGAATGCAAGGCGCTCCGCTGCGTGGCCGACAAGGACGTATTTTCCCCGCACAATTCTGCGATCCATCGATCGTCCGAGCGATCGGATCGTGGCATGCCAGAGGCCATTTTTGTGGGTTGGTCGCTCTCAAAGCTGGTGAAATCGGTAGTGGCGTGAGCCAGCTGGGACGAACGATAGTTTGAGCCGCCACTAGGGAAAAGGATTTTGCCACAGAGTTCGACGGGGACAACAACACACCCGTCGCATCGTCCACGGCTTCCAACCGCTTTCGGTAACGCAGCGGAATAAGCATTTGTGATCCTGATGGTACTGCTACTGTGACAGCAACAATCGCGTTAACAGCATTTCCTGGGGGCGAACGGCCCAGCAGGGACGGCAGGAAGGACATTCTACTGCCCCCTGGCATTTCCAAAGAACCTTGATCGACGATTATTTTAACGGGCATCCGACGAAGGAAATCGGTGCCCAATAAGCATGGGACGGCCAATGAACACCAGATCAAAACTGGTCCCACCGCGGTGATATTCCCTATAGCAATGCGCACATTTACTCGCCCCAAAATACCCATGCTACCCCCATTCGCAGCAACGCATGCATCATTAGCTGGTCGGATCCGCGACGTAGGAATGGACAGGAGATGAAAAATAACATCGGAAATGATGGTTGAAGACGCGCCGGTGTCCACCAAAATACGGACATCGATCCCATCGATAGTACCCCGTACCATTGAGGACCCCGACGCGGCTGCCACCACCCTTCGAGCCAATTTTTTCCACTGTGTAACTGAGTGTGGCATCGACCCAGGTGACCCACAATTCCCTTCAGGAGTGCAAACATGGGTGCGAGTGGATGCGTGATGTGTCAAGACCTGCCGGGTGTCTGATATGTGCCGACTTGCCCGAGGGTGCCATGGATCCGCTTCTGGTGGAGGAGATGGAAGTCGGCCCGACGGGAGCTGAGGGGGTTGAAGTCGGCAGCTGCAATCCCAGGCGAAATGGCCTCGTCGGCCACACTTAAAACATGTGGCCGTCGCCGCCCGGCGGTCGGCCGCCCCGGTCCCCACTCGTGGACGTCCGGCCCCGTCATGCTGGTTGCGCGGCCGGCGTTTCGGGACCCAGCGAGGAATGGCTGCCATCACCTCGTCGTCGCTGAAGTCGTTGAAACCGTGGACGACACGATGTGGGGCCCATCCCAATGGTGGCCCGTCTATTCCAGGATCTCCCGACCATGCAGCCATCTGGTCCCAGCGTTTGAGGTTGAACTTGGCATCCAAACAGCGCACCGCCCATCGAGACGTTAGCGGTTCGTGGCCGCACACCGGTAATGATATATTAAGTTCCTGGGACAACTCAATCATTCTAGAAAGGATGAGAGGATCCAGGAGATCGGCTGACGAATCGGGGTAGGCTGCCATGGCAAGCGCCCCCTCGGTAGGCCAAGGGCGATTCATCCGCTCCTCGGCGCCGCTGCATGAATTTCCTGGTAGCCGCCGTCGGCGGCTCGTAGAACTCCGCCATTTCCGCGAAAGTGTCACGCAGCGTATTTTTCTTACTCGCTGGGATGGAGCGGAAGACTGCCAAGGAGACATCGTCCAATAGCGTGGGCAGAGCCTCCAGCGCTTCTGCCTCCGTCCATCGCACCGACTGAAAGGCTGACTCGAACCACCACGTGAACGCGCTCCAGTCGCCCCCGACGACAAATTCTTTAATTTGAGGAAGGCGATGGCCGCGGTAGATATCCGAGGCCTCGGGCATGTCAGATCCCGCTCCCCGCGCAGCACGCGGCTCCGTAAAGATGGCGTCCGGCGGCCGCGTGGCAGCAGCCCTGCCCAAGATGGCGTCCGGCAGCCCCGTGGCAGCAGCCCTGCCCAAGATGGAGGCCACCCCCTTCGCGGCAGGAGTAATGGCGGACGGCGTTTCCCGCTGAAGATCTTGGTCATCGGCCCTTGGGTGAGATCCACGCGGCCGACCGAGGGCCGCTGATGACGCGACCGCCGTTGCAAGATTTAGCAGGATCGCACGGAGCGACTCTATCTGCTCCGCCACCCGACGCCACCCCTCATCCGCAGCCGGAGACGTCGCCTCGCCGGCCTGTCGTCGATGCGCGGCATCGGGGAGAGCGGCAGACGGCGGTAGAGGACCCGTGGCTCCCAGCAGCTCGTCCTCGTCCGCCTCGACATCTTCATTCGACGGAGGATCCGGTGGGTTTCTTTTCTTGAGGTGCTTGGGCATTTTCTAATAATTGTCCAAACGGTCTCAAGAAGCACTTCTGTCACCAATGTAATAAAGGTCGTAATAATTGTATTATTAAATTAGTGAACATAAAGAGCTGATCAAATTCCCGAATGTGTGGGGCGCCAAGGTGGCTCGGGGATGTTATCTCCATTGACTTGCATACAGGAGGTCGTGGGTTCTATCCCGACCCTGACGATGCCTGCTGTATATTTGGAGTATGTGTGTCTCTATCTTTCCCCGTGGTCGCCTGGACTTTTCCCTCCACATTTAGAATCAGCATCACGCATTTAGGTAAGGCCTACTGAGCTATTCAGCGCTTTTTAAGAAGCGACCTGGCCACAAATGATAGCTCCACGAAATCGCTTATCACGTGGAAATTTATATCAGCAGACAAGCACTCTAAACATGTGACGTTGTTTCTAAATGTGGAGGGAAAAACCGGGGGACCGGAGACAAATCCACACGCCACCCAAAGACACATGACACCACCGTTTGAGGGAAATGCACACACGTGACGCCATGCTCGTGCCATAACTCACAGTGACGTCATATTTCAACAGATTTGAATCAATGTTTTTCTTCGGATCGTACAACATTTCAAATCCCTCCTTTCTACATCGCTACTCGTTTGCACGATTTCGGCTGGGAGGGGTGTGAGAAAATACCCTCGGCTCTCTCTTTCCTGAACGTGACCAATCCACAAATTAATCACAAAAAATAAAATATGCAGGCATCTTTGACCAATAATTATTTAATCTGGACAAATATAAATTTTGTTATATTTTGAGATTTGGTGACGATACATTGAGTACCACTTTGTGGGCGAATCGCCAGTGGTTATCTTATAAAATAGACTCGTTTCCGTCATGCTGTGGAATTTCCACTGCCGTTTCCGGCCTGTAAACATGGGACGAGCCCCAATACCTCAATGTTCGTGCATTTCCGATGACAGGGGTGAAGGAAAATGTATGTACAGCAGAGAGAGAGAGCAAAAGCAATTAAGGTAGCCACAGTGAATTGCTTGACCACATGCGATAAAAAAATAGAAGCAATAGTATTGCGCAAGAGTTGCACCAGTAACTCCATTAAGTTTAATTTCTATTAATTTCGACGCCGTGTTGATGGCTTCTTACCAGTAGTGCTGGGTGAAGTAATCCAAAGACGTCCAGTTGCGGTTCCTCTCGAGCCGGTGGTGTTGATAACACATGAGTAATTTCCACCGTGTGCTCGTGTAACGTTATAGAGTGTCAGATAGCTGGAGCCATCCCTAAGGTCCAAGTGTCCATCGTACATCACGTAGCCCAGTTGTTGCACACCGCTCGAGACTTGTGAGTCCTTGAATTGTGCATTCTAAATTGACAGAACACATGCGCATTAATAATCCATTTGCATCGCAAAATTATCTTTACAGGAATATAGTTCATCTAAATCCCTCTAAGAGGGTTACTGGGCTTCAGCATTCCACAATTAAAACAGATTTTTGTAGGTATTGAGTTCGATGTCTTAGCATGGTTTCCCTTGACTTTTTTTTATTCAGGCAAGCCCAGATATGAGTTTCGGAAGTGGATATATCAGAATAAGCATCTACGGGAGGAATCCGATGAGCTATGAAGTTATTTTTCCCAGGTGTTCAGTTTGGGCGGGTCAGCAAGCTACAACAACAAACACAATACGCAAAACACAATTAGAGTGCAAAATAGAGAGTAAGGTAAGCAAGTCACTAATCCAAGGCGGCACTAGATGCTGTATGGATTGCAGCGATACCATCATGGTGTGCGTTGATGACGCACTCGTCCGTGATGCGTTTCATTGTTTGGGCTTCACCACAGTCGCAGTTTGGTGACTCTTTGATTTTCCTTTCATGGAACAACGCGTATGCCACACATCTCCTGCGCTGGGCCCGAGCGCGGTTCAACGTGATTTACAGTCATCGAGAAAGATAATCCCAGTACTTCCACGGTTGGGTCCTCATTGATGTTTTTGTTTGTCACGTTCATAGCCACCTATCCGGTGTCTTTATATTCGGTTGCCAGAGAGTCGGTGGGTATCCAGAATGGCTTCCTGGATTTAAGCCTAGGGCGTGGGGGGTACCTTTATGTCTTGGTGGGCGAAGTTTTCCACGATCTTGTTGCACTCCCTGAATCGTTGCGGCATCATGGTGGATGTTGGCTGGAGTGATGTCTACCAGCACGGAAAGCCACGATAGTGGAGTGGACTTGAAGGTGCCGCTAATGATATGAAGTGCAGTGTTGATATCAAGATCGACGAGGTTTGTGTGAGGACTGGCACCCCAAACTGCAACACAATACTCTGCTGGAGAGTGGACTGGGGTCTGCATTGATATCTTCAACGTGCGAGGCGTAGCTTCCCCACGTTGTTTCCGCGAGTTTCTGGAAACCATTTGCTCATGTTTTTGTTTTCATTTTGGTTTGTTCAAGGTGGTGCTCATAACTTGATTTGAAGCTTTCGTGACTGCAGGAATCCATACTGCTGGATTATACTTTTTTCCACCGTAGGACGACCGCTTGTGTTGCGATTGAAACGTCGTGATTTATTTTATTTTATACCTACGTGACTTTACCGAAAGAACCAAAGAGTGTGGTGCTCATAGTTGAACCTCCGATCTAGGGTACCTGGGGTGGTGGTTGTGTGTTAGTGTTTTATGCAGAAATTGATATTTAATGTTTTCGTGGCTTGCCTGTTATTCAGATGGAAGACGGAGACGACCCTCTTGTAAGAATTTGGTTTTAGGCGCCAATTTGTGAAGTGTGCTACGAAGATCTTGAGATCTTTTTAGATAACTTTTCCAGTGTCCTCTATTGCCCGGGCTTGGGTTGCAAATGCGATGTCGTCCACGTATGTGAACTTACGGGAGGATGTCGCTTGGATCTCGTCGGTGTAGAGATTGAACCGCACTGGCGCAAGAACAGATTCCCACAGTAGTCCATTGTTCAAATTTAGTGGGCTGCTGGCAGCCTCACAAAGGTGAATGGTGAAACATCGCTCGCTCAGTATTTCAGTGATGAGTCTGATAGTTGGGTGGCAAGGCACAGCTGTCGCGAGCTTCAGCACGAGACCCTTCCACCACACCATATCATACGCCGAGGTGAGGTTGATGAATGCTGCTCCTGTTTTGAGCTAGTGCTCAAAACCGGTCTGAATGTAACATTTTAAAGCTAGCACCTGGGCGCAGCAATTTTTGCCAGTTCGGAATCCGGCTTGTTCTTTCGGAACTATGTTGTTAAGCATAGGATTTATTCTTTGGAACAGGAGCTGCTCCATTGGCTTGTAACCGACGCGGAGGGGGGAGATATGGTGGTAGTTTGTGATCTCTGATGCATCCTTGCTGAGTTTAAGAATGGCTATGATCTTAGCCACGTTCAAGTGAAGGAATCACTCCAACAAATTCGTCCATGGCCATGATGTAATTTGGCCATGCAGGGTGGATCAGTGAGATCTGAAGGCCAATATTGAACAATACAGCAGCCTAAGTTCGCTATTTGTAAAGTTTCGATTTAAAGCTTTCGTGACTGCAGGGATTCATCTTCTTGGTTCTTTCGGTAAAGTCACGTAGAAGGGAAGTAATAAAATAATAAAAATAAAACATAATAAAATTATTCTCACGACGTTTCGGCCACAACGCAAGCAGCCGTCCTCAGGTGAAAACCAGGTTCGTCGAGGCGACAGTCTGAATGAAACAGCACACGAGCTTGGAGCATATATATAAACTGGGCGCCTTGACAAAGGAATTTGCATATCAAGAGGAATTTAGCATATTTATGGGAAATGCAGGAATGTGATTAGTACTACATATGCATGTGCATTATACAGGATTAACAGCATCAAAGGGAGCTGCAGTTGCTGCTGCTGCAGTTGCTGCTGCTGCAGTTGCTGCTGCTGCAGTTGCTGCTGCTGCAGTTGCTGCTGCTGCAGTTGCTGCTGCTGCAGTTGCTGCTGCTGCAGTTGCTGCTGCTGCAGTTGCTGCTGCTGCAGCTGCTGCAGTTTCTGCTGCTGCTGCAGTTTCTGCTGCTGCTGCAGTTGCTGCTGCTGTTGCAGTTGCTGCCTTATCCATTTTAATATAACACTATGTATTATTCTACCCACCCTAATGTGTATCACACTGCTATATATTTACTATACAATTACGACACCATACATTACTCTGCACACTGCACCATGCCAGTGAGTGGAACGCGGTCTGAAAGTCACCGTAAACGTGAACACAATCAGTTAAGATCCGAAATGGTTTATTACGTCCTTCCAATGATTGCTAAGCCAGAATCCATCTTCTCGGTTGAAATTGTCTCTGTGTTTGTATATGTGGATCGCCTCATGAACGAATCTCTCATGATAGCCAGATGGCTTGCAGAGAACCTCTGTCTTGGAGAAGTCAATGTCATGTGAGCCCACTGAATTGTAACAGTGATCTGCCACGGCTGAGGTGTTTGTCCTACCGTGTTTCAGGTCTGCTTTATGTTCACGGATGCGGTCCGAGACATGTCGTTTGGTTTCTCCAATGTAACTGCTACCACAGAGGCAACTTAGTTTGTAGACGCCAGGGTACTGTATGTCTGGAACCCCATCTTTTACAGACGGGACCAGATCACGGATTTTATGTACTGTGTTGAATCGGACCTGGATCTTGTGTTTAATCAGGATTTTGGATATCTTTTTTGTGACCCCAGCAATGTAGGGTAAGGTGATGGTCTTGAAAGGCTCCTCAACAGGATCCTTCTTGATGGTTGGAGTGATGGCCTTGCGGATTGTGTAGTCGGAGTAACCATTAGCCTTAAGAGCTTGGCGTACGTGTTTGAGTTCACTGCCAATGTGTTCCAGGCGTACATGTTTGATTTCACTGCCAATGTGTTCCTGGAACACATTGGCAGTGATTGTGTTCACGTTTACGGTGACTTTCAGACCGCGTTCCACTCACTGGCATGGTGCAGTGTGCAGAGTAATGTATGGTGTCGTAATTGTATAGTAAATATATAGCAGTGTGATACACATTAGGGTGGGTAGAATAATACATAGTGTTATATTAAAATGGATAAGGCAGCAACTGCAACAGCAGCAGCAACTGCAGCAGCAGCAGAAACTGCAGCAGCAGCAGAAACTGCAGCAGCAGCAGAAACTGCAGCAGCAGCAGAAACTGCAGCAGCAGAAACTGCAGCAGCAGCAGAAACTGCAGCAGCAGCAACTGCAGCAGCAGCAACTGCAGCAGCAGCAACTGCAGCAGCAGCAACTGCAGCAGCAGCAACTGCAGCTCCCTTTGATGCACATGCATATGTAGTACTAATCACATTCCTGCATTTGCCATAAATATGCTAAATTCTTATTGATATGCAAATTCATTTGTCAAGGCGCCCATCTTATATATATGCTCCAAGCTCGTGTGCTGTTTCATTCAGACTCTGTCGCCTCGACGGACCTGGTTTTCACCTGAGGACGGCTGCTTGCGTTGTGGCCGAAACGTCGTGAGAATAATTTTATTATGTTTTATTTTTATTATTTTATTACTTCCCTTCTACGTGACTTTACCGAAAGAACCAAGAAGAAGATTTGTAAAGTTGTCAGAGGTGGTTCTTTTTCCCAGCATAGCATTACCATTATGATCCCGCGACACAAAACATGGATCAGGCATGTAAAAAAAAATCCTAGTGTGCTGACTTGAACGTGCCACGGTCTTTTGCGTCACAGAGCAGGTGGTGGCCTTCTGGTGCTGTCCATGATGTTAGTTGCTCACCTGCTTTATCATTGGCGCTGTAGACCCATAATGTTCGGTGGCTATTTAAGTCGCTTACGTCAACGGTCGGGTGACTTGGTGGTGGTGGTGTCGGACATGGCCATTCAAAACCTGGAGGCTTTTAGACGTTAACCACAGTTATGTCATTGATTTTGATGGTGATGTAGTAGGACGAGTTGTTGGATGTGACCTGGGCCAAGTCCTTCAGGTTTTTACGGACATGACAAGGCCTTGTTTCGGATAGTGGCTTGGAGTCTTGTGGGCATATTAACTTATCTTCAAACGGGACACTCTTGATCCAGATAGGTTTTTTTTTACCAGCATCAGGATGTCGATGTACTGGATCATGAGAATCTTTGCGATATAATCGCATTTCGCACTAGAGAGGTCCTCAAAGTTCAGCTGCATGATTCTCATCGATGGGCCGATATTTACATTACTTTGCTGATGAAAAGGACCATTTCTAAAGCAGCTTTTGAATCCGGGATGCCGTGTGAGGCAATTTTCGTTGTGCTTTTGCATGTGGCAGGGAAGACCGTGAGTAAGTTGTCATCTTTTTGTCAAGTACAAAAGACCACTGGTGGTAAATTGTGGGTAATAAATGCAT